CTATTAAGTTAATTATATACATTATGATGATTTAAGAAATACTTGTTATATGAAGTGGATATTTATAAAATATATAGCCAAATATCTTTAATTGTTTACAAAATATGCAACTTACAAATATATATATATATATATATATATGTAGATGTATACGATTTTATAAATATTATGCTATTTCTATCGTCAAAATCCACAACAACCGAATTTGATTTCTAAAATATACATGGAATGAAGTGCTAACACTCGAAACCATGTCAAAATCAATAATTTAGAGTTTCATGTTTAAGAATAAGTCTCTTAGTTCAAAATTAGATTAATTCCTGAGCAATTAAGTATAATACAACTTAAATTGCTTAATAAAATACTTAAATATTGCACAATAGGTCTAGTTATAATAACGATCATGATGATTGACTGATAGTTCTTGACCTTTTTCACCAATTGTTACAGGTAACATTACACAATCTAAAGAAGTGGCCGGAGGTTTAAGAAATGCACCCACCACAAGAAGATCTTGATCTAGTAAGGGACGATAATTATAGAAATCTAGTTCTAGATGCTTCGTTTGATACCTATAATCATGATACTTATTTCCTAATTTTCTGATTTTGTTCTTCATTTGATATAAGGTTTAAGTCTACACCTGATCTATACACAAGCGAGTAATTGTTCTCATCCTTGGAGGCGAACGACGTCACTGTCACTCCCCACGACATCCCCGACCAATCATGTGCTTCTGGGTCCGACGGAAACCGTATCACCTCCGGAAAATTTAGTTCCATCCAAGTGAGAAGTGGCGGTGAAAATGAAGGGGATCAATGGTATTTATTGTTTATGATCGACGATTTGGGGATGGATTATGGCAGTCGACGCGGGAAGGAATCAAAATATGGGCGTTAGGTAGATAGGAAACGGGAAGAAATAAGTGGGGGTGGGGATAGGTAGGTTTTTTGTAATAATTAAATTTAGAACTAGAACAAGATAACAAAAGTTAAGAAAGGATAAATAAGTCATTTCATGTAGCTCATAGACCATTTGTATAAGTTTTAGAAACCACATGGACTATTAATGCAAGTTTAAAAAACATAAGGACCATTCATATCAAAAACAAGTAATAGGAACTAAAGTTGTGGCTTTTGGTAAACTAACATGGACCATTATATAAATTGTCTAGTTTTTTTATTTAATTTGGTTGATAACAAACCTCTATAATGGTTAGTTTTATGACATAAAATCATCTTATCATACATGTCATTAGGTTTGATCTTTACATAAATGACAAATCTAATGACTTGTTTAATTTTAATAGTTTTCATATAAATTTAACTAATCTATACTAATATATCTAAAATATTTTATAAAACTCCTCATGTAAATAGTCATTTTTAAGTTATCCCTTACAACCCTAATTATTATATCCTAGTATATCCAAAATGGTTAATTTTATTTGAATAGTATGTATCATTTGCTTCTGGTTGTATGGACTCATACTACATTCCACACATATACGTAGTTGTTCAAAGAATTGCCCTAAAGTTTAAAAGTTGCCCCTTACAACCCTACTATACAATTTATTTATCATACATGTACGTGTCTACACACACCCATATCACTAAACTTCTTAGACTTACTATTCCCCAACACTCTCATGTCGAACAAAGTTACCACTAATATTGACAAAGTCGCCTCGTGAATGCATAATCATACGTAATCGAGAAGGAGGCAGACATTCGAATAAATGACCCTACCCTAAGACAACAACCAAATAAGGAACGTATAATAAGGCAAAACAATAATTCTAAAGTTATATTATTCTAATTGCGTACAGCCCTATTACATTCACTTAACCACCCACCAATATTAACATAGACTCCAAGTAGCACATAACAATCACATAGTGGCAATTAAGGCATATCTCCTGAACATGCAATCTTAGAGAAGGTCATTAACCTATATTCTAGCATGCATATCTATAATTTGCATAAATTGTTGGAGAATGGTGCCCATAACCACAACAAGTCGACAATATTACTATATGTAACAGTATCCTTTTAGGTTAAATACAAGATCAAATATGAGTAGAACTAAAAAATAGAATTAATTATATGGACTGGTTTGTTAATCAATTAATAGATTAATTAATTAAATGAATCTAGAGATTCTGGCATGTTCGAGATAAAGGATTTAAGTATCACGATAATTACCAAAGTTAGAGATAATTATTCTAAGCCATGATATTTATCTGTTAGGGTTTGAATCCTTCCCCAATAAATAGAAAGGCCTAACACCGGATTAAAAAGTTGGAAAATCAGTCAAGTCCCAAAGAAATCCGGAGGTGCTCTAAAATCTCATAAAAAACCTAGAAGTCGATTACCAAAACACGAAGAAGGAGTCTACGTGTCGTGAATAGTCAATTCCATATTTAGATTGCTTCGATTCGTGGTGTGCTTTCAGATAGGTGATTCCATTTGTTGTTTGTATCTTGGTGCGATCACAAGAAAAGGATTCTACGTTGGATCCTCCAAGTTCAAATAACTGACGAAATCAAAGAAACCAAAGAATTCAAGTGTATGTTTTCTTTATATATTGTTTTCGTTTTATGTACTAGTTACCTAGATTTAGTGGGCAGAGGTCCTTATAATGGTTATGTTTTATGTTGCTACCGTTGTCCCTTTCGTTATCAAAACCAACATGTTCACATCTATGACACTTAGGATTTCTAGTTTTTGTGTTAACTGAGTTTTCATGATTCAGATTCGATATGGTTTTCTATTTTTAAACAGTTTTAAGTGTTTTAAAAATTGCTAAAAAGCATTACATAATTTTAGCTGATTAATAATTTTTACATATTTGTTATGCTTAAAATCCATATATTTTGAGTATTAATTGCTACGTGACACAGTAAGTTGAACTTATGAACAATGATACCAACAGTTTGAAAATAAAAAGATACCGGTATATCCGAATTGTCATTTTGCCAATTAATAACTATATATCATATACATGGTTTTTAATTTATATTGTTAATGATAATGGAAGTATTTTTAGCTGATTGTAAGATTATATTTTATAAGTATAAAAAATGAAAGGGTAATGATGCCAAAATAATATGTGGAAATGTAAGTAGGGCATGTTTTGACCTTGTAACCTCTTGTTTATTACCTAAGCACTTTAACCACTACACTCTGACTCTACTTTTGTCTTTAACCCATGGAACACCTATATATATATATACACACACACACACACCCCCTAAAGTTTATAGATGAATGCTAACAAAAAATTAATCTTTTTACACTTATACGGAAAAATGAAGTAGTTGCACGGGACCTCCCGGGACACTCATAAGTTTGCCCCTGTTACATGACAATTGAAGAAATTGGTGAGGGAGCAGAGTTACCCAAATCCCAATCCACCCAATGCGAACATTAACCCTAGATTCATAAAGAGGCAAAAAAGGTTGAAATATTATTGCATAGCTTAAAGAGGACCACATCTTGCATTCCATTTACCACATTGGATCCATAAAATTATCCTAAACAACCTTTAGACCTAGAGTTTTCCAAACTCCATAGAAAACATGACAAAAAGGGACCAAATACATAAAACACATAGATCTAGAAGCTAAATTCATAAAGATAGGAATTTTATGACTTACATAGCTTAGTGAGGTGTCTAGAAGGTTGAAACTTCACCAGATCTAGCTTCTATTGGCACCAAAGGACTTGCTTCTTCTCCAAGAATCACTAAATGCACTAAAAACACAATGATGTAAATAGATTAGGCTATTATTTATTTGCGCATGGTTTTGGAGGATGGAGGTTGGAAATAAGAGCAAAATGTAAAAATTAATGTCTTTAAATAAGGCCAAACCCCAAGACCTAGGGTTTAGGATGATTGCGGCTACGTGTCGCGCCCAACTAAAGATGCATCACGCTCAAACCAAAACACATTTCTCTTAAATCTTAAAAATAATTATCTTGGTAAATAAACATAGCAATAAACAAGCATTAGAAAAAAAAAACTTCACATACGAAGAGTGATCGTGGGCTACAAAAGTTTTACATTTTATTTGAGAATTCAGGCAATGGTAAGGGATTATACATCCCCAATGAGTAGTTTTTGCTTTCTTTGAAATCTGAAAAAATAATAAGGGTAATTTTCCTTACGGGTGTGTTGTGACCTGATTTCCCCCTCATCAAATCCAATCTCATAACCATAATATTTAGAGAAACAATGGAATGTTTCCATCGGGTTTCCATGTGGAAGTATATTTCCATTGTCAACCAATATCATTGATTTTGTCTGATCAGTTGTTGATTCACCACTTTCAAATATTAGATCATCATCAACAACTATCTTACCTTTCTACATGACATCACCCTTGTTTAAAACCCCATTGTAAGAAGGAAATTGATTAAATATCATAGCCATAGGTAATAAATTACAAAACTGGTTACATCCAATACCGAAGACCCATTGTCACCAATTATCTTCATAACTATTTTAATCCAAAACATTGAAAAATCAGACAAATTTTATTAATATGTATCCTAGACTTCGAAGTAATTACTATAATCAACCAAAAATATTTTAAAATAATGATTATGCGAACTATTTTTAATAATTTAATGCTAAATGTGCTATCAATACACAAATTTTCTCAAAAGGGAACAAGAATGGCAAAAGAAACACCTAACTTTTCGATCTACAACGAGGGTGTTTGGGATAACTTTTAAAGTGACTTTTAACTTTTATCTTTTTCTAAAAATCAAAAAGATGTTTTGTAATTCTGACTTTTTCAATTTTTTCAATAAAATAAATGACATTTTTTGAAAAGTAGAAAATCATAACTTTTCCATCTTTCACAAAAAAGAATTTTTTAGTTTTCAAAACTACACCAAACACCCTCAACGTCCGGATGTTCCGTATTTTGGAATACACTTTTACACTGTGAAATATACGATAGTAGACTGTAGATGTCATTTCTCGTCAGTCAACCCAAACAAACTTTAATACTCCGAAATGAACAAGATGATTATTTTACAAATTCTGACAAAAAAAATTATTAATATTTTCATTTATATGGGTTAGTTTCCTCAAAATGAATGGTTGAATTAGGCATAAGTTAACCATGAGGGTGGAAACGGGGCTAATTACAGTAATTAAACTCCAGTGAATTTTGGGAACATATGGAACCCGAACCGGCCGCTGCTTTCGCCGGCGACACCACCTATTCATGGCCGGTGAAAGGCGTTGCTGTCTACGGAGCCGCGATAACAGCCGCGATGGCCGTCGGTTACGCCGCGCTCTATGTTCGGTCACCTGCTAAATTCAGAAGCAAAGTGGTGGGGATAATACCTGCTCGCTACGCATCATCCAGATTCCAAGGCAAGCCTCTCGTTCCAATCCTCGGAAAACCCATGATTCAGGTTTTTATTGTTACTAGGGTTTCTTCCCACATCATGTAACACACACATACGTACACACAAATTAATATATCAACAACTCTCGAATTGTGTTTACTTCAATTGAGAATTACCCGAAGCCTGCGTTGATGATTGTTTACACTTTCAAGGCTTACTTTATGTTATAAATATGAAGATCATTTTTCCTAACTGTTCCTTTGGGTTTAATTGATTATTCAGAGGACTTGGGAAAGAGCGAAACTTGCTACCACATTGAGCCGATTAGGTTTGTTTCTTTCTAGGGTTTTGTTAAATACACTTCGTTGATTTTTAGCTGATATACTTTTAGGGTTTAGCATGTACTGTATTTTTTTGACTTTTAACTTGTATTTTGTATTTTGCTGAAACTTTTCAAAGAACTAGACATGTTGGAAAAAAGAGTAACCTAAGTTAGACAAATTGAAAAATAGGTTCTTACTTTATGACCTTATCGCCATCCCTTGCACAAATTATTTGTCAAAATGGATCTTTTAAAAAAGTTATCATCTACAATACAACAATTATATTCTTTTCCTAAAAAGTTATGCATATATAAGCTATCTTCTTTTTAAGCTAGAAAAGCAACCTCAAAAACCACCAAAAGACAATTATACCCAACTTTTCCAATGAAAAAGATAGAACAAGAAATCTTTAAACATCCACTATCAAAACCGAGCTTCAATCAATTGAATATTTAATTCAAGTGATTATGAGTATTTAGAATTAAAATGAATATATTTGTAGAAACAAATCAACAAACAATGATAACAGTAAGAAAAATAATTATCGAGATAAATGTAAAATTACTAAACTGTCCCTATCTTTAATCTATATTGCAGTGGTGGCTACAGACGATGAGAGGATTGCAGATTGCTGTCATGGATTTGGAGCAGATGTCATAATGACATCTCAATCTTGTCAAAATGGTAAAGGTTAAATAGCATTGATTTGTTTAATATAGCATCATATTCTCATTTCTTTCTAATTACATCATTATACTTTGAATAATGAATAATCCACCGAATTATAATTATGATTTACATTGCTATTTCTTGCATCAAATTTACAGGAACCGAACGTTGCAATGAGGCACTCCTAAAGCTTAAAAAGAAATATGATGTTGTTGTAAATATTCAAGGAGATGAGCCACTTAGTGATCCCGATATAATTGATGGAGTTGTCAAAGTTTTACAAGTATACCATAATTACACTTCTGTTTGGTATGATGGAATGGAATTGTAATTCTTCATTCCATTCCATGGTGGGAATGGAAATGGAATGCCTTTGCATTTTGTAGGCAACCCCTGATGCTGTATTTAGTACTGCAGTTACATCTTTGAAAGCAGAAGATGCATGTGATCCAAATCGAGTGAAATGTGTGGTGGATAATCGTGGCTATGCAATATATTTTTCAAGGGGACTTATTCCATTTAACAAGTGAGTTACCATAATTACCCTTTTGTTTTTTTTTTTTGGCACAAATTGTTTAACAGAATACTGGATACAGGTCAGGGAAGGTCAATCCACAGTTCCCTTATCTACTTCATCTTGGAATCCAGGTAAAGATTCAATATTTTGGGATTTTTTTTTTTCTTTCAAAAATTGTGTAATTAGTGGTTGAAAATTTTGAATCATCATATTTCACTTTTTCATTGGATCGTTATTGTGAAAATGCTAATTTGGGTCCACAAGAATCAAGATTCCATTATTTGTACTTATCAAAGGGTATTTTGGGTATTCGTGATATAGACATATAAGGTAGCAATTGTCTTTAGGATTTTGGAAAGATTATGTATAAATAAAAGTAAATTTATAATTCCATTAACGACTTGATTGGCCATTTGGTAAACAGAGTTATGATGCAAAGTTCTTAAAGATATATCCTGAGCTTCCTCCTACTCCATTGCAAGTAGAAGAAGATCTTGAACAACTCAAAGTCCTTGAAAATGGTTACAAGATTAAGGTACCATTTTGTCAAAAATACCCTTTTCATTTGACTATATAGCCAAATATCATCTTATAAGTTTATCTATTTATTTGCTTTACACCATTTGATATATTATCAACCGTTTTAGTATATAACAAAGCCTACCATTTTTTAATTTTAAATGGGAAGTTTGTTACATTAAATGATAACAAAAGTATGTTGTTTATTCAAATGGGACCCACAAAAGGGAAGGATAATGATCGTTTGATTTCGCAGGTGATCAAGGTTGATCATGATGCTCATGGCGTTGACACTCTTGAAGACGTTATAAAAATCGAATCTTTGATGCGCGAAAGAAACTTGTAGCTTTTAGGGTTAAATGCAAGAAATAAATACATACTTTTCTTGATTTGATTATTGTAGCATCTAATTTACATTTCTTTTTATTACAACATTATATTTTGAAAAATATATTCAATTTTTGTATTGACGTCCAAATACAAATCAATTTTCACTGCTATAATTGGATAAAAATTTCAAAATATGATGTTTAAATAAGAAAAAGAAGTCAAACATATAAAACTTTGATTCTATAAAACCACTATAATTTGGAATTTTTTCGGTCTAACAATTTGAAGAAAGATTTCTTTTCCATTTAACCATTGAAAGTTTGAATAGAAAAAATATGTATCTTTAAGACTTTAACCTAAAAAATAATCTCCCATTTGCTTTTTGCAACTCATTAATCCAAACAATAGATAACTTTCATTTAGTAAGATAACTCTTCTCAATAACATAGTGATATACAAAATCGTCTTACATGGAAAACGAGTGATGTTATATCCTTTAAACATCCTTCAAACATATAAAAAGATTCTTAGAATAATATAACTAAGATATAACTAAGCTTTAAAAGCAACAAGATTAAGAACATTGTTAAGGGAGAAAAGAAGAAGTAAAAAGTAAAATATAACTGCAACAAATCCTGCGATTAGAGACGCTGAAACATGGTGACAAAATTTAGGAACTTGGCCGCATATTGGAAGCCAACCGGCATGCGAATTCCCTTGTTTCCCCAATTGGCCTACTCCGACCGCCGCCGAGAAACTTGATATCAGAAATGACGTTACAATCTGTATGATGAAACAAAATTTATTAAGCTTCTACACAATATATACATTGAACATAAGTGTATTCGATATTTTTTTATAATATATATATATATATATATATATATATATATATATATATAATATATAATATATAATATATATATTTTTATAATATATATATATATATATATATATATATATATATATATATATATATATATATATTTTCTTACTTGATGAGTTATTTATATTGAATTTTATAAAAAGTATTATAGTTTGTTTTTCTTTTTAATTAACCAACGAAAAGAATTTTTCTAGTTAAAATATCTTTAAAAAAATCTAGACTATAATGGTTCGTAAACAATCAAAGTTTTAGATAGTGGTTTTTCATTAAAAAAAATCAAAATCTTAGTTGTAAAATTAAAAAAAAATATTCATTTGTTGGTTAAAATAAGAAAAATCTCAAACTGTAGCGGCTTTTAATAAAACTTGGCTAATTGTTTAAGATTTTTTCCATTGGTTTTGACTATATGTATCGGGAAATCAAACCAATATCTTGTTCATGATTTCATGGATTTTGAATTCACCAAGTTCATATAGTTGATTGTTATCTTTGTTGATTTGAAAAACTAAAAACTGAAAGCGGATATGGTTGAACATAAAAATGAAATAAAATCGGTTTTGGGGACTATGAACTCAAAATTTTTGGCTTATTTTATGTTTTAGGAAAGCCTAGTCAAACTATGCCAATCCCCAAATTTTATGCATTGTTGTTAAGTAACGTGAAAACATGAATTGAGAAAATCTTGAGATACCACATCGAGAACAAGAACCGGACGCCATGACTTCTTGGGAGGAATGAAAAGTGTTGCCAAACTATAAACTGTTGTGATAATGCAAACGATCACAAAATACCTACACGAAACATTTTTGTATCGACATTATATTACGCCCATCAAAAACACATGTAAAGCCATATAAAAATTTACTAGTTCATTAAACCATACATAAGTGTAATTTGAATACATGGCCTTTTAAATTACTCTAAGCAATAGTGATGTGAAAAAAAAAAAAAAAAAAAAACCCGACCAAACAAACCTTCCGTGTCGAACACGTCCCTGATTTTTTAAATTTTTATAAAAGCAATACTTTAGGTTGGTTTGTTTATATATAACTTCAGGGTCGGTTGTTTATTTATATAAATTTAACTTATTAACTTTATCGGAAAACTTTTCTTACTCCCCATGCAAAAGGAATGAAATTGCACCAACTACTAGAGCATGAAATATATGTGTTTCGTTAAATCAAATTGTTTAGATTCAACATATACAATACATTTTGACAAAATTGTTAATCAAAAAAAAAAAAAAAAAACGTTTCGATTGAATCCAAAACTGTTAAGCAGGTTCTAACCCAACTCAAATGGCTTGCCTTCCAACAACCTACTCTAATCTTTAACATTCATATCATCTTTAACAATACTAGTTAAAATATATCATAATGCATATTCAAACAAAGATTTACAAGATCACATTTTTCTGAATACCCAGAAGAAAAAGATTACGAGAGAGGGTTTGATTTGACTTACTTGAGAGTGGGTGAGTTGTTATACTTGGCTTGAAAGGTCATACCCAAGACTTTGGCCGAGTCATGGCTTGTGAGCATAAGAAGAGTGGCTACAAAAGTTGAAGCCATAGCTATGACCCTTAGCACAATAATAGGTATCCATTGAGACTTGTTCATGGAGATCAATTTCACAAAGTTAAATCAAGAAAAATGATAGGGAGAGAGTAGAGAGAAAGTTGGAAGTTGACAAAAATATATAAAAAGATGCATACATGCTTAATGTTCTTTATAATAAGGTTTGGGTATCCCATTTTCCAAAGTACAAACTGTTAATTACAGAACAACATACAAGTTTGAATGCATTATGTACAAGTTACTATAACATATTGTTTTGGATTTAAAAGTTATTGGCATGGAAAAGATGAAATCTCCTGATATTATGAGTGGAATAAGGTAGTTGACATGTTAGGCAAGGTTGGTACATGTGGTGTTCTTTGGTGACCTAATAACTTATTTAGTGCACACATTTCATCATTGAACATGCTACTATGTGTTTCTTACTATAAAATCTGTTTATTAAACGTACTTTTGATATTTTAATAAACAAAACTTAAATATGAGTTTTAAACTTATCAATCTTTAAATCATTACAAATAAATAAATATGTGCGTGTATGTGTACGTGGTTTTCTTTAATGGTAATCTTATGGTTCTCGCAGTTTATTTATTTTGTACTAGATTATTTTATATTCGTACGTATCATGAAGTTCTAACGATTTTCAAATATGGTTATGTGTATAATTTTATGTCACCATCATAGTATGTCGTGATGATATCTAAAAGAAACAAAATATTATGGGCTTCATTAAATGAGGAAAGTATCAAAAGGATAGTTGCACTCTGTTAAACTGTTTGGTAAATTTCACTTTCTTGTTCTATGTAAAATAACAAGCAACACAAAAAAAACTATAAGTTATTTACAATAGTGGATCTAAATGATGATGCTATTTATATTGGGAAATGAACTAAACTACCAATATTGTACGTTAATATAAAAAAATGTTTTTTTAAATAACCATGAAGTCCAGAATAGGTTATTTCGGATCCTTTCGGACATCATAAAAAATAATTTTCTAACAAAAAAGTAGATTTCAGACTGATATTCGGATTCCCGTCTGAAATATCGAACTTCGGACTGGATTTTGGATTTTGTTGGAAGAAAATAAAAACTTTGAAATTTCAAGAACAAGTCCTAAATCAGACAAATAATTCCAAAATTTCGAAAAAATACTTTGTTTTTGAATAAAATCGTATAAAAAGTTAAAGAAACATAAAAAATGATAATTATAACAATACAAAGGGCTTAAAAATAGACGGATTGAAAAATAGTGATATTCGATGCTTAGTGATGCAACATCTAGTCTCGAAAGTGCCAATCAAAATTAGAATGTGCCTTTGGAATCTGTTTTCACCAGTGGCGAATCTAGGATTCAAACTCACGTGTGTCCCATATAAATGAAATAATAAAATTAACGGGTCAAAAAAATTGATTATCGGGTCGGTTTATTAATAATATCACTCATATTATTAAGGAAATCGTTTTTTTCAACTTCATTATTTCATTGTGAGTTATCATGATTATTTCATTGTGAGTTACAATATGTCTAGAATAATACAATAAACAATTACCAATCTAAATAATTAATCAAAACAACAACATCTAATGTTATAAATGTATAGGTATATAAACAAATGTATATGCATATGAAATCATTTGAGCAGGCTGGTAGGCTTATTGTTCTAATTGTTTATTATAGCAAACACATAGAGTATATAGACTATGAATTTTTAAGTTTATATATACAATAATTTACAGTAGGATATAGTCCTACACCCATTTTATAGCTTTACACACATAACCAGTTAACCACAAAGTAATAAAACAAGACATAAAAGAGAGAAAAAGTTTTACCCAAAAGTATATGGAATGCACGAAAAGCAACACACACGTTGTAGCACCGATGGCTGGTGTTCTTCGGTCCGGTTGGATGACGGGCTAGTGGCATAGATGGTATCGATGCAAGTGGAGGCAAGGAGGTAAGGATTTGGGACTTGGGTGACGACCATAAATCAAGAACTTTGACACCAAGAATTGTTTAAGATAGGTTGCGACCGACGAAAAACAGAGACAACCAAAACTAGGATCGTCAACAACACTAAAGAATCGTATGCGGGCGGTGGCAATTCGAAGTTGAGTAGACGAAGGCAGCTTGGTAGCGTCCGATCTATAAAAACCGTAATTATCTTTAGGGTTTTTTTGCTATTATTATATTTTTGAAAAATATTTGTTACTTAACGAATTACGAACTCCTAGATTTTTGCTCTAACGTTTTTTTATAAGGTCTAGAGATTAAAAATAGTTTATGTTTAACAAATATAAAAGATCAAAATTGTTTGTTATCTTTCCTTTTCTCCAAAGGTGTCCACTTTGGTTTGTCAAAGGGTGTCCTATAAAATTTATGATATATTTAGTCAATAAAATTTCAAACTTAAGGGTGTCCATGGACACCCTTTATGTGCATGTAGACTCACCTCTGGTTTTCACACACAAAAAAAGAGACGACATCACTCGCTTCTCGGGAGGAGGTCCCGATACGACGCTCCGACGGACAAGTCAATTGGTGATCGGACAGATGTATTAGGGTATTGAATGTGAAGGAGACGATCCCCGTACGTGAGGTGTGTCGTCACTTATATAGTTAGGGTTTTGGATCCCTGAAGTGGGATCGGCGAAACAGATTTGTTGGAGTGTAGGGGCGTACATTTGTCCAACTATCTTCAAACAGATCTTCTTGAAGACGATTAGTGCAGAAGGAATATTGGTAATGGCATGGACACCTTTTGATCTATTGTGACCCTTCGCCACCAACACGTGCTTGTTGAGGGATGACCTTCCGTTGTTGGATGGTTTGTTGACCATTAACTTGGTTCAGATGATAGCACACAACAAAACAATACGACTAGGTGAGGATCTGCCTAGCGACTAGACGATGATTCAAGTCTGACAGTTATTAGGGGTTCAACAGGCTTTTAGGAGCATCTAGTTAGCGGCCAATTGGCGTTGTCGGTATATTGTCTCAAAAAAGTTAAAAAAACTAATAATCTAAGTAGTGAAAAGTTTAAAAAGTCTTAAAGTTGACATTTCGGAAAAAAAATGATTATTTTTTAATAACATATATTTTTATTTTTCTTTAAAATTGAATAAATCAGTTTAGTTAATTTTCCTTTATAACTGGCTCTTAATATTGTTGGATAGTAAATTATGAAACCGCTAAAAACTAAAAGTATAATGGTTTATTTCGATTAAAATGTGATATAGAAATCTAAACATGTAATAGTGAGCTTTTATGATTAAAATCAAACTAGAAAAAACAAATTTATTGGGAGTAACCGGTAAAGATTTAAAACTTTTATTTTAAAACAAAAAACTAATAATCTAAAATCTATAAAAAATAGATATCGAGAGATTTTATACGTTTTTAGCATTTAATTTTTACGTATTATATCATTTACAACTTTTAAAAATCTTTAAGTTATTTTTGTCACACTTCAAATAAAAACCATAACTTACCACTACCAACAAGTTTTTGTTAATTATAGATAATATATGTTATCCTAATTTATACTCATAGCGGATGGTCAATTTACCTGATCCATTTTGACAAACACACAAATTACTTATTTTTATCAAATTGCCATATACTGGATATTAGTTCATTAGGCTTTTTAAATCTCAAGTTTAATATGTTAAATGTAATAAAAAAACAGTTCAACCAATTTAATGTACTAAACTTATCATCTATTATGCTACTATATTAAATTCCACTTAGACAACATATAATCGATTACGTAAAACAATAATTTAGTTGCATAACTACATTAATAGGTAGAAAAATGATACGGAAAGTTTTGTGCAACCTTTTTGTATGTATGAAATGGGCTTCTTGTAAAAATCAGGGCAAAATATAGTTACTTACACCTAATTTTACCTTTCTTTTTAATTTATATAGTTATTTGGATCATACATCAAGTATAAAGCATTATTTACCTGTACAGTACTACCTAATAATGCATGTCAAAAAATGAGCTTGTTTCTTCAATTCTCCTGTTGTAATGACGCATTTTGATCTTCCTAACCCAACTTTACAGCAGCAAAGCCCATTGGGCCTGACACTACAGCAGCTTCGGGCGTTTAGACTGTTTCTGTCTTTGGGTCTGGATCCGCTACTGGGCTATTTGGGCTATTTTCAAGACAGGGCCGTGAAGCCTAATGAAGGCCCGCCTTATTTGCCATAGAGTTCATTTAGTTGAGCGATGTACGAAATAGTCAGTAGTTCGGGGGTTAGATTTGTAATTTACTTCGAATTTTTTGAATATGAAATTACAAATCTACCCCTGAACACCGCCATTCTCTCAATAAAACTCATTTATAGCCAGCCGTCTACGCATTTGTCTCGCTCTCGACACTGCGACCTGCCGAGAGACCCTAAAACCCTCTCTGCTTCCCCGACCCATTGCTTTCCTTAAAAATCTGTGATCAATCATCTCGATTTTGATTGGGAAAAGGCTTTCTAAAAGATTTCGTTATGGATTTGGAAGAAGAGTATGATCAAGGATACAACGACGAGGAAGAAGATATAACCCAAGAGGATGCTTGGGCAGTTATCAGTTCTTACTTCGAAGAAAAGGGTCTTGTTCGTCAACAACTCGATTCATTTGATGAGTTTATTCAGAATACTATGCAGGAAATTGTGGACGAATCTGCAGATATCGAGATCCGACCCGAATCCCAGCACAATCCGGGTCACCAGCCTGATTTTGCCGAGGTTCGTTTTGGATTCTCTTTCTGTATATAGTTACAATTCCGCCGTAGGGTTAAGAGTTCGGTTTTGGAGCATAAGTTGTTTAAATTGGTTGTTTCAAATTGAAAACGGTAACCAAGCTTGGTATTCTCAATTCTAGGGTTTCAAGTATTGTTTTGTTTTCGGAGGGAAAAGTACTGTAGACCTCTTGAAATTGATTGGTTCACGAAACTATCTGAATGTAACTGGAAGTTGTTCGACTTGATGGAGCTCTAGAATCAGATAGTAATAGTCCCATAGTTGAATTATCAAAATGTAAGGATGCTTAGCAAGATTCTAGGGTTATCTGAGTAAAGACTTCTAAAATCTAATTTGAATTCAATTGAACTATTGTGAAACTAGTGGGAAAAAAGTACTTCTAAATGAATGGGATTCACATTCTATACTAAACAAAAATCCAGCAACTGAAGTATCAAAACATTGTGCATTTTCAAGGAAACTGCACTTTGAGTGAACAGAAAAGTGCATACATTCATGTGATGTATTTGAATATTTGATATATTCTTCTTTATTCACTTGCAGACAATCTATAAGATCAGCTTTGGTCAGATTTATCTGAGTAAGCCAATGATGACAGAGTCAGATGGTGAAACCGCCACATTGTTTCCAAAGGCAGCAAGGCTGAGGAATCTGACATATTCTGCACCATTGTATGTTGACGTATCAAAGAGGGCTATAAAGAAAGGGCATGATGGTGAAGAAGTTACAGAAACTCAAGATTTTGCTAAAGTCTTCATTGGAAAGGTATGGAACTTGCAAAATAAAATCTTACTAAACGAAAGTGCAAATGTTGAATCATGTAATAAATTTTTATGACACGTTTCAGGTTCCTATTATGCTCCGGTCAAGTTACTGTACATTATTTCAGAATTCAGAAAAGGATTTGACTGAACTTGGAGAGTGCCCATATGATCAAGGTGGATATTTCATCATCAATGGGAGTGAAAAGGTTCTAATTGCTCAAGAGAAAATGAGCACCAATCATGTGTATGTATTTAAGAAGAGGCAACCAAATAAATATGCTTATGTGGGAGAAGTTCGTTCAATGGCAGAATCTCAAAATAGGCCACCAAGTACCATGTTTGTTCGCATGCTTTCTCGGACTAGTGCCAAAGGGGTATGAATCTTTTACCATAAATATGAGAAACAGCAATGTACTTTCATTTATTTGTTTGTTATAGCATTCTAATTTCTTCTTTTCCTATTACAGCATGTACTTTAAAAAATCTATCCAGTATATAGCATTGTTGTCCTAATACAAACAATTTTCACTGCTATAACTTGATAGTTTTTTTCGAAGAGCAATGTTTTAGTAAGAAACAAACTTGAAGTAAGATGCTATAACAAACAAATAAATCAAAATATGTTGTTATTTCTGTTAAATTGACATCTTTTTTTTTTCAATTGCAGGGCTCCTCGGGTCAATATATTCGTGCTACTCTTCCATATATCCGAATTGAAATTCCTATCATTATAGTGTTTCGAGCACTGGGATTTGTTGCTGATAAAGATATATTAGAACACATTTGTTATGATTTTGCTGATACTCAAATGATGGAGTTGTTAAGACCATCACTAGAAGAAGCATTTGTAATACAAAATCAACAAGTAAGATCACTTGGAAGAAAATTCTTGCCTCTTGATTTCAAAATTAAATGGTTAATCTTGTATCTTTACTTGCTTTCTTCTATTGCAGGTGGCACTAGATTACATTGGGAAAAGAGGTGCCACTGTTGGTGTCACGAAAGAGAAGAGAATAAAGTATGCTTTTTGTTCATGGCATTTTAATAATTAATATCTTCCTTTTTGTTATCATATTATCTATGTTTACAATATTTGTTGATTAACAGGTATGCCCGTGATATTCTTCAAAAAGAAATGCTTCCTCATGTGGGTGTTGGAGAGTATTGTGAAACAAAGAAAGCATACTACTTTGGGTAATTCTTACTTTTTTCTATATGACATGCATTGTTTTTGGTATTTTTCTAGTTTTTATGTTGAAGCAACATGTTTTTACTTTCATCAGTTATATTATACACCGACTTTTGTTATGTGCTCTTGGTCGGAGGGCTGAGGATGATAGGGATCATTATGGAAACAAAAGGTTGGATCTTGCTGGCCCATTGCTTGGGGGGCTATTTAGAATGGTGAGGTTTTAATTTTTATTTTATTTTCTTGGATTATTCTATTGATATGTTACCTATGTATATGCATATAACAACTTGTCACCTCTCCTGTTAATGTAGCTCTTCCGGAAGTTAACCAGAGATGTAAGAGGATATGTTCAGAAGGTAATTTAATTAATTCTAAATTCAAGTCTCTGAAACTCATAATTTCGTGTTATTAGTTATTGAATCATCTTGTTCGATAATCTGCAGTGTGTAGACAATGGGAAAGATGTTAATCTGCAATTTGCAATTAAAGCAAAGACGATAACAAGTGGGCTTAAATATTCACTTGCTACTGGGAATTGGGGGCAAGCTAATGCAGCTGGAACTAGGGCTGGTGTTTCACAGGTTAGATTCTATGGTTTATATGTTACAATATTAGTTTTCTTTTGATAACTTTTCTTTTTCTTAATAAGAAAAAACTGGTAAGACAAATTTAAGTTTCTTTTTCTTACATATTTTTCATGAAATTTGCAGGTGTTGAATCGCTTGACATATGCATCTACATTGTCACATTTACGAAGACTCAACTCTCCCATAGGGCGTGAAGGTAATTTTTCTTTTTTGTTGTATTATTGTTTCTTGCTCTGTATTTCAATGGTGCATGATGCTCTTTTTATATTAGCTTGTCTTAAATCTAGTTGTTTTAATATATAAATAGGAAAATTGGCAAAACCAAGGCAGCTGCATAACTCACAATGGGGAATGATGTGTCCTGCAGAAACCCCTGAAGGGCAGGTTAGTAATTTACTCATGATCTGATCATCTGAATTCAAATGGTAACCTTATCTTATGTTTATGGTGGTTGCTGTAGGCTTGTGGACTGGTGAAGAATCTTGCATTGATGGTTTATATAACTGTGGGGTCGGCTGCATACCCGATTCTTGAATTTTTGGAAGAATGGGGTACAGAAAATTTTGAGGTAAACAATAAGATCATTTATCTTACTATAATTCCTTTCTTTATTTAATAAAAGCTAATGATTTACTTCAAAATCAGGAAATTTCTCCTGCTGTGATCCCTCAAGCTACAAAGATCTTTGTGAATGGTCTCTGGGTGGGAATCCATCGTGACCCAGACATGTTGGTGAGAACATTAAGGAGACTGAGAAGAAGAGTGAGTAAAATCTTTTAATTTTTTGTACTCTAAATCGACTTAAATGAAATTACTCTTTTGGTAAAATCTTTTTATGTGAATGAATTGTTAAAAATGTTCAGGTTGATGTGAACACGGAAGTTGGAGTTGTGCGAGATATTCGTTTAAAAGAACTTCGAATATATACAGATTATGGTCGTTGCAGTCGCCCGCTTTTCATTGTTGAAAAGCAAAGGCTTTTAATAAAAAAGAAAGATATCCAAAAGCTCCAACAAAGGGTATGTCTGTAAACTTTTGTAATTTTAAAAAAAGAATATGGTTTATTTTCTTAATAACATCTTATTTGTAATTATGGATTCACAGGAAACCCCAGAAGATGGTGGGTGGCATGATCTTGTATCAAATGGATTCATTGAGTATATTGATACAGAAGAGGAAGAGACTACTATGATTTCCATGACCATTAATGTGAGCAACAATACATGATATGAAGTTTGTTCTCTTTTTATGTTTAAGAAACATTTAAGAAAATAACTTGGGAAATGGATGTGATGTAGGATCTTGTAAGTGCAAGGGAAAATCCAGGTGAATCTTATTCAGACACTTACACACATTGTGAAATCCATCCGTCTTTAATCTTGGGTGTTTGTGCCTCAATTATACCATTTCCTGACCACAACCAGGTAAGTTTCTATTCTAAATTATTATTGTTGCATAATTATTATATTTATCTTGTGGGATCATTATAATTTATATTTTGTTTTATGTGTCAACAAACAGTCTCCACGTAATACGTATCAATCGGCCATGGGTAAGCAAGCTATGGGAATTTACGTCACCAACTTCCAGTTTCGTATGGTATGCAACATATGTATTCTTTTTCATCACTCTTAAATGCAAGAAATAGCAATGTACTTTCAAATTAGTATGTCCTGATAAGAAACAGATTAAATGTATGCTATAATACACAGATAAATGAAAGTATGTTGCTATACATTGTATTTAACTCTTTCACAAAACTCATATATATATATATATATATATATATATATATATATATTTTTTTTTTTTCTTAATGTTTTTGTTGTGAATCTGTTTCGTTTTAGGATACATTGGCCTATGTGCTTTACTATCCCCAAAAACCTCTTGTTACTACACGAGCAATGGAGCACTTACACTTCCGACAGCTTCCAGCTGGCATTGTGCGTATTTTTCTATATCTTATGTATTTTTTATTTTCATATCTGAATACCATCCCTGACTTTCTATTTTCTCTTGTGTTAGAATGCAATTGTGGCAATTTCGTGTTATTCTGGATATAACCAAGAAGATTCCGTTATCATGAACCAGTCCTCAATAGACCGTGGCTTCTTCAGATCACTCTTTTTCCGTTCTTACAGGTTCTTTACTTGCTCAAAAGACATAAATACCCTCCATCCAATCCATAGCCTACAAAACTTGATGTAAATGTGTTTTTCACAGGGACGAAGAGAAGAAGATGGGGACACTTGTGAAGGAAGATTTCGGTCGTCCCGATAGAGCTAACACCATGGTAAAATACACCAAACAGTTGTGTTTTTCGTTTCTTTTCCAAAACAAATATTTTTAAATTTTTTTAAATACAGGGCATGCGACATGGTTCTTACGATAAATTGGATGATGATGGTCTTGCTCCTCCTGTGAGTAGTACTGTCTGTTTAGAGTTGATGGTTTAGGTTTTTTTTTTCATCTGGACTAAAAACACACACACGATTGTTATAATCATGTAGGGGACAAGAGTTGGTGGTGAGGACGTGATTATTGGGAAGACAACACCAATTGCTCAAGATGATGCTCAAGGGCAAGCCTCCAGATACACTCGTCGTGATCACAGTACAAGCTTACGTCATAGTGAAACCGGAATGGTTGATCAGGTACTGCCCGGCTGCCCGTGTTTTTGAAGTGTTGATTTGGTTGTTAAATTTGGTAATGGACTGCTGTAGGTGCTGTTGACAACAAATGCTGATGGGTTGAGGTTTGTGAAAGTGAGGGTGAGGTCAGTGAGGATCCCACAAATTGGAGATAAATTTAGCAGTAGACATGGTCAGAAGGGAACAGTTGGGATGACTTACACGCAAGAAGACATGCCATGGACTGTGGAGGGAATCACTCCTGACATTATTGTGAATCCTCATGCTATTCCTTCTCGTATGACAATCGGTCAACTCATTGAGTGTATCATGGGCAAAGTCGCTGCTCATATGGGGAAAGAAGGAGACGCCACTCCCTTCACCGATGTCACCGTAAGTATTTTCACAACTAATAGCAACCTACTTCCATTGATTTGTTGTAGAATGAAAAAAATGGCATTTTGGTTTGATGCTTGCAGGTGGATAACATCAGTAGAGCGCTTCACAAGTGCGGTTACCAAATGCGTGGGTTCGAGACAATGTACAACGGTCACACTGGCCGACGCCTAACTGCCATGATATTCCTGGGGCCCACTTACTACCAAAGACTTAAACATATGGTTGACGACAAGATCCATTCACGTGGACGCGGTCCCGTCCAGATCCTGACCCGACAGCCCGCAGAGGGCCGGTCACGTGACGGTGGGCTCCGGTTTGGTGAAATGGAGCGCGACTGCATGATTGCTCATGGTGCGGCCCATTTCCTTAAAGAACGGCTCTTTGACCAGAGTGATGCTTATCGGGTTCATGTCTGTGAGCGCTGTGGCTTGATTGCAATTGCTAATATCAAAAAGAGTTCCTTTGAGTGTAGAAGTTGCAAGAATAAAACTGATATAGTTCAGGTATGTGACTATCATCCCATCCCATCCCGTTAATTAACATATTTATTACTGTATTATTTTTTAATTATTTTATGGTATATGTAGGTGCATATTCCATATGCTTGCAAGTTGTTGTTCCAAGAGCTTATGTCTATGGCGATTGCACCTAGGATGCTTACCAAAGATGTGAAGCAAGCAAAAGATAGCAAGAAGAAAGGGGCTTGAGTTGAGATGATATGGTACACAACTTGTGATGTAATGATTTTTACGGGATTTTGAAAGGTTGAGCGGGAAGTCTAGTTAATGTATACTAATTTTCTTTACACTATTATATGGTGAACCTACTTTATATCGTACAATACGGAATTTGAGAATTTTTAAGCTGAATTGTCTCTACTTTGTTAAAAATGTTTTTGACAGTTTAATGGACCAGAGTTCTGTTGATATTATAAAGCAAAATAACAATATGTTTAGGTCTTGGTCTTGAAATAAGTCCACTTTTATAGTTTGAGATATTTTTCATGTAGTGAGGATAATGATGCCGAATTCCTTATCTATGTGTCAAAGAAGCTAGGCCTTTAATTAAATTAAATCACGAGGTAGCATGTAGATACTACTAATTAGAGAAAAGACTACTATTAGAACTGATTTAATCATCACACATTGTATTATTGTACAATTAGAAATGTTAATTGTATAAGATTGAGAGATACTTTAGCATGACCAATTTTCCACTAATATAGTCTTTTACCGTGCAGCATTTCAGATAAAATAATAATTGTGTTACATGAAATGATCTAGATGTAGTGATAGGGTCACTTTGTTACGTAAGATACTGCCCTAGAAGTAAGAAGCTATAGTGATAGGATCACAGTGATTAAGGCAATTATAGAAAAAGAGGAGTTGTGTTACATAAAAAATTCGTTTTTCGAATTATTAGATGCATGGGGATATTTTGATACTAGGAACGACGATGACGATGCTCACTTCTTGAGTTTGCTATTGCACACGATTTGGTGGTCTCAGACTCCTTTTCAAAAAGGGGGATATTAATTTGATCAAGTTGTCAAATGACTAAGATACTTTTTAATGGGTCAACTCCTCATTCAAGCTCAAATACTCTAAAAAAGATTTAAGTGAATTTAGGATGCCAACGGAGACCAAAGGAAAGAGTCAGACTTGAAACACAATACATCACAAAGGTAAAACGGAATGACTAGAGAATGCGTCGCGTCTACATAACATATTGCATATTGGGTCTTTTTGTTTCTCATTTAGCTATCCAACTTTCAATAAAACTTCAAAATGATTTCAGTGAGTCAAAAGGCTTCAAAGGAAAGCTTTAACAATCCAAATGATGTTAATAAGGGTCCCCAGTTCATTTACTTGGAATAAGCATCTAATATCAAATTATTACTCAAACTTCACCTAGAAGCTTAATGAGCACAAAAGGCTCAATTCAAATAAAAATCACTACATGTGATTTATGGAATTAATAAAAAGGAACAATACCAATAACAAGATTCAAACCATAAGATGGGTAGATAAATAAGGTGACCTTAATCATCCATTCAGGTAGGTGATCTTGTATTGCTGAAAGTGTCCCCATGGAAAGGGATTATCAGATTTGGATAGAGGGGCAAGTTGCGGTTCATAGGCCCGTTCAGGATCACAGCCTGAGTGGGCAAGGTGGCATATCGATTGGAGCTGCCAGAGGAGCTTAGCCAGATCCACAACACCTTCCACATGTCTCGGCTTCGAAAGTGTGTTGTTGACGAGTCCGCAGTTATTTCCTTGGATGACATTCAGGTGTATGGGAGCCTGAACTATTTCGAGAAGTCGGTCTCCATCTTAGATAGGAAGATGAAGGGGCTTCAGAACAAAGAAGTGAAGTTGGTAAAGGTACAATGACAACACCGGAAGGGCTCCGAATGGACTTGGGAGCCGGAGGACGAGATGCGGGAGCATTATACCGAACTGTTTACAACAATAGACTTCGAGGATGAAGTCTAGTCTAAGTGGGGGAGAGTTGTAACACCCTAAATCTGGTATGTCTTGAAACCCTCAAGAATTTCATTTTAACATAATTGGCCCTTTAAGTATGATGGGCGCACTTAAGTGTACGCTTGAATGGTCGTAGAGGAACTAGAGGTACGCTGGGCGTACGTGCCAGGGGTCAAAAACCCTAATTTTCGGACATGCGACCTATTTAAGCGACCTTAAGTCCCTTGAAATTAACCCTAGAAAGCCTCCACTGCCTTAGAACGTCCCTACACTCCAGAGAAACTTGTGAGACCATTTTGAGCTCTAAAAAGTGCATTTTTGGCCCTTTTAGTGATTATTCCAAGATGAAGAGGTGGTTAAGCAAGCTTGGAACGAGTTAGTGCTTCAAGATCCTGCATCATAGTCATCTTTCAAAGCTTCTGGATGTAAAAAGATTGGATCTTTCATCTTAAATCTCTAGCCTTAGTTAGGGTTTTCTTCCTAGTCCCTTTTGGTTGACTTTGGACCTCCATTTGTGAGTTGAGCAACTCCAGATGATGAGAAAGACAAATCTGAGGCCCTTTGGTCCATTGAGTCTTGATGGGAGTATTGGCCTCATGCATGGGTTAAAGACCTTGGAAAGGTCTTAATGGAGGTGTTGGGTGTATATGAGGCATGCAAAGGCATAAAGTTGCCAACTTTATGCCTTAGGACGTCTTATCAAACTTAGATCTGGCTTTTGGACGTAAAGGAAACGAGTATTAAGCACTTAATGGAGAAAGTGCTTAAACTGGTTGTATGTTGGGCGTAACCCAGTGTACGCCGTGCGTAGTCCCAAGACCCCAGTACACTATGCCTACCAGGATGGTACGCCGAGTGTACGCATCACAGTTGGGCCGAATCTGTTTTGGACCTTTGAGCCTTGGGCCTCACTTTGGTTATTGGGTTGGGTTGCATTCTGTGAATTATGGGCTATATCATTTGTCATGGGCCATAGTTATATTAATTGGGCCTTATTGGGCCAAGTGGCCCATTAAGGATTTTAGACTTGGACCTTGGGCCCATTAGCAACGGATGTATAATTAGGCCTTATGGAAGGGTTGGGAGTTTGGGTCTCCCTTGGTTAATCAAAGTCCTAACTTTTTCTAATATTATTATTTAGCATCAGAGCTTGCACACTGTTAGGAGAGCAACTTTTGTATACAACAGTCAGAGGTGAGTCTCCTCACCATACCAATGGGTGGAAGGCACCAAGGCCGACCCATTAACTGTTATGTATATGTTGTTTGGACTATTTGATATCCAATGTGCTAGTTGTTTTTGTATATCGTGTATGGAAGACATCGGGGGGGGGGGGGGTCCCGAGGCACTTAGGTGTAAGACCTTGGAGGGTTTCCTTGGCATCCTAGGTCAAAGACCTCGGGGGCTTCTTGAGGCACTTAGGTGTAAGACCTTGGAGGGTTTCCTTGGCATCCTAGGTCAAAGACCTCGGGGGGTTCCCGAGGCACTTAGGTGTAAGACCTTGGAGGGTTTCCTTGACATCCTAGGTCAAAGACCCTGGGGGGTTCTCGAAGCATTGGGCTAAGACCATGTGGGGGTTCCAATGGCACCCGGAGTAAGATCCTCGAGGGTTTCCAGGGCTTCCTTATGTGTTGTTTTGCATGGCTTATGTGTTTTGTATAGTTGTTAGCTAACATGATATGTTGTACGTATTTGTGTGTGGGTGTGCTCTGGGGAACTCACTAAACTTTCAAGTTTACCGTTTATGGATTTGTTTCAGGTACATCTCAGCCCAAGGGCAAAGGCAAGGCATGATGGCGCGACATGCACTCTATCTCTCTTTTTCACTAATATGTTTTGGGACACTTTAATGATTTAAACAAAGTTGTAATAAATGTGGATTTGAACACAATTATGCTGGAATTTCATGGTTTATGCAAGTGTGTTACTAATTAAAAATTAAAATTTTCTTTGTAAAAATTTGGGTCGTTACATTGACCTAAAACAAAATTACAGAAGCGGGAAATGCAAAATTTTCAATAGATAAAAAGACCAATCCAGCTTTCATTTTCGTACCAAAATCACATGTTAAATATGTAGATGCTACTAATAGTATTATACTCAAGATGTTCATATTCTTTAAAATAAAACCCTAATTATTTACCTAATACAATCGTTGATACATAAGCCGAATCATATCTCTAAAGTAGCGCCATTCGATACGATTTTCGGTCTGAATCCAACCCATGTGCGACAATCTTTCTATACAAGTGATTGAATGATTTCAATCTTCCTTCAGGGATTCTTGATTTCGAAGGGTGCAATATTTAGACTTAAAGAGCAAAATGGAATTTCAAATATAATTAGGCTTTTCTTTAAAGTTAGGTACTTCAGAAGAAAGTAACGCCAATAGAGTACATTACACAAATGTTCCTTCGTAAAATGATAAAAAGAATTATAGTACATTACACAAATGGTCCTTGTGCTTTTATATTTTTACCTTTTTAGTTCAACATTGAAAAGTTTTTCAGTTTTGGTCCTTATTTAAAATAAAACTAATCTTATTAGTTTAATAAAATTTTAAAAATATTTTATCCATGGTTTCCCGGGTTGATGAGAGTTTATATTCACCTAATGTTCTAAATGGACTTAAAATCCTCGGTTTGCCAAACCATACGTTTATTTTAAAAGTCGGTGTTTCGGTTATGTTATTAAGAAATATCGACCAGAAAAATGAGTTATGTAATGGTACTAGACTTCATGTGGTATCATTGGATAATCGTGTCATAGAAACAATGGTCTTAACTGGAAGTAACATTGGACATCAAGTTTTTATTTCAAGGTTATCTTTAACACCGTCAGACAACAAAATTCCATACAAGTTCAAAATGGGACAATTTCTCCTAGCTGTTTGTTTTGCTATGACCATAAATAAAAGTCGGGGCCAATTGTTGAAAAAGATTGGAATGTTTTTGAAAGAAACGATTTTCTCACACGGTCAGTTATATGTTGCTTTATCCAGAGTAAAGAGCAAAGAATAATTGAAGTTAATGATTTTAGATAATGATGATAATTTGACTAATAAAACTTCCTATATTATGTTCAAAGAAGTATTTCAAAATTTATATTAAAGTGTTATGTTTATTTTACTTATCAAATAAAGTTGTAGTTACTTACAATTCAGAATCAAATGATTTTTTTATAGTTTTTAATTTTTTTGTCTATATAATTTTTTTAAACTTATCAATGATGGTTTTCCGGATTATAAGCTAAGTATAAAATTAAACTAAAAATAAAAATGGATCTAAAATTAGTAATCATTTTATGTTATACTATTTGTTTAGAGATTTGCTTTCATAGCAAAATTCTATAATTCGACTTCTCTTTGAATTTTGCGTGTGCACTCCCTCCCAAGTTTAGTCCAAGGTCTCATCGGCTGTTGCACACACTCCACTCTCCTGCCATAGTTTGAGGGGTATACACTTTACAGGAGGTGTC